CCCACCTCTCTCGACTTCTTTTCACTTTGATGTTCCTCCTCCCCTCTGTGAGGCCCGAAGTCAGCTAAAGGGCTAATGATAACTATCAAAACGCCTGCCATTTGAAATAAATAAGTAAATAAATAAACAACATATGAAAACTATCCTCAAAAGGGGGATCAGAGCCTTTTGAGTTGCAGTTTATGGAGCCGGTCGTTTCCAAAATATTGTCATTCCATTCTCTTTCAACACACACTCACCCATCCACATGGAGATACGCAATCCCCCAGATAAAGGACGCATACGTATACAATGTCTAACATATATATACCTCAGATTTGCTACCATTCAAATATCGAACTCATGTTAAAATGCCAATCCCGTGATAATATTTTATTTCTTATTCAATAAAAACCATTTCACTCCACCAGACCACAGTGCCGTCATCCATTCAATAGGTCAAAAATATTTTCAAGGTCGTCACCGCTTATTGTAGAACGAGTATTTGCCAAAGTAATCTAAAAAATTCATTGAGCCTCATTAGTGTGCAAGTTCAAATTAACGAGAGGAGTCAAGGCTAAGAAAGGGGGAATCAACTCACCGTGGCCACTATTGGAGCTCCAACACAAGCGGATACCTTAATATCAGTAAATGCCGTTTTATCGACAGGACAAATGGGCATCTTATTCCTGAACTCTGAAGTGCACTTCGAACAGAAGTAATGCTCGCATCCATTGGTCGAGAACGCCGGTGAGTTGACAAAACGAGTGCAGTTCTTGCAGACATAGTCATCTTCAACGGGCAAATATTTTGGCCTCATACCCGGAATGACTGATTCAACCTGCATGCAGTTGAATATTTGGCCACAGGTGGCCAGAGGACATCTGGATCTGCCATAAATCGAATTTCTCTTACTCCATGTTTGCAGACAGCTAATGTGGAACTCGTGGCCGCATGTTAGAGGACTTCCAAGCGTTCCAAACATAGGCATTAAACAAATTACACATGATGTGCTTGCGGCCATGGAGTATGTATCTTATCGAGGTTGTTTCGTGTAAGTGAGTGTATGTGAGTGTGAGTGAGTGAGTGATATATCGACAGCAATTCACTGATGAATACTTACTTAAAAATTTGCACAGTGAATTCTATTCCTGTGTTTAATTCACACAAATCAAAATTTAATATTTGCATTGAGGCTTTTTCACATTTGGACTTATTGTCCATTGGAAAGTGTATAATCACACAAAGACAACACCCCCTCCCTAACCCCGACATTGAAGAACAGTATATTGGGGTCTTGAAGACTACATTTCTATATGACTTTGTACCCAATAACTAGCACCCTAGCGCAACTTGAGATAGTCTGAAAAAATTGGTGCCATTTTGAGCCATCTATTAAATTTACCCAACCACCTAAGTTACAGGCTCTAAGTGCTAGTTCACGTAACGATTGAACATCAATCAGATGAAGAACTGAATATTTTTTGCAGTTTCGTCACCAATCGAAATAGTATTGATGAATTCATGAC